ATAAGCGAGGCCATCCAAGAAGTGACACCTGACGTACGGGCAAGGACTTTCCAAAACGTGGCGCGCCGAGTCCAATGCTGTCTGGACGCAAATGGTGGCCATTTCCAGCATTTGTTATGATGTCACCAGACTTCAAATGAACTGAGGTAAGCCCACTCCAAATTTCGTTGCAATATCTTTATTAGTATCCGAGTTATTAACAAAATGCCGGGATCCGCCCCGAGTGAAACACCCTTTATCATATTATGCAAGGTTGATGGTATAATGATTAATGAAGAACGAATTTATAAAGATATGAAAGGAAGCTGTCATGACCTGATTTCAGGTATGCTTTGAATGACTGACGGAGACAAAGGGGAGCCTGTCAAAATTACATGTCTCGTATCCAATCTGATGAGTACAGAACTTCATGTCTGTTGTAGAAAAAAATTTATAAAATGAGATATCATTTTATTCTTATTTTGTTTAGTATAAGCCCAATGGAAAAATGTTTCAAATGAAAATTTTGTTTTTGTTATGTGTACGTGTATCATTATGTAACAACTTCGTAACAGCCACAGGTTTTTATTGCATATTATTTTTGAGTTACATTTAAATCAGAGTCTGTGGAAGGTAAACGACTAGAAACGAAAATTAGACGTAGATGTCACATAACAATATAGGATTTGAAGTTATCACAGCGGCGTTGATTCATAATTTGGTCTTCTGGCTTATGACAATGTGTAGTCTGGTACGTTGGTACCTAGGACGACTATCAAAATTTAGGTGTACACTATAATCGTCCATTGCCGCCCTCCATTTATTTTTTTGATTTTTATTTAGTTATGATTATTATAAAATAGTAGGTTACAGTAAGGAATAGTAGATGGACATAGACCTGTTTATNAATGCATCAATCATCAAATTAGTTGAAGTGAGTTGTACAGATTCTTTCACATAGGCGAGGCTTAGGCCAAGTTTAGTTGTCAGACAGACGGCTTCGCAAGTAAACAGGATATATGAGGCTAGGGTACGCAGTAGGGCCTCCTTTTGAAATTCTACACATTGATGTCTGAAGCAGTCGTGACTCTTAGGGGGCGTTTCCAGGATCTGCGTGCGATATTCCTAATTACAAGGTAAAAAAAGGTAAAATTATCTCTGTAACAGTCCATGAAGGCCCATAGGTGTGTAAGACGTCGAGGCTCCTACATTTGTTTCTAGACAATGGGCTCACAGATGGCGGTAAGGTTGTCAGCCTTGCACGTCGGCCGCCCTTTACCCCCCCATGACGATTCCTGGTACTCATTTCTGTTAGAGGCTTATTCGATCGCACGGCCATAATGCTGTTGAAAGGATTAGGTCAATCCAATGACCTCATCGGGATCGAACCCTCGACCTTCCAGCTTGTAGCATTGCGCCTCAACCAAGTACTCTACCGCGTGCCCCAAATTGATAACTGTAAGGTAAAAAGGTAAAGTTGTCCCTAATTCGGTTTTGAGCTTTTCAGAGGACTGACTATCAGGAGTACTTTCTTCTGGGATTCAGAGCTGTGTATTTTGGTAGAGTTAACCGATGTCTCAAGAGTTGCATACTGACGCCATCTTCAATGTCTCGCTGGATACTTGCTTGNCGTAGGCGAAAGAAACAGTTAAATAAGTGACGCCAAACGTGAGGGCGGTTAAATAACTGACGCCGTACAGGAGGGCGGTTAAAGTAGGGTGGACATCAACCGGATTATACGGAATTATATGCCAGAAAATACTACTCTTCAAGACCTTATTCTTTCATTTTATGCACTTAGCATACAAAGAATTCAATACACCGACCTTTACGCCATAAGATGCCATTGAAGCATCATAGTAGTCCGCGATGTGATTGTGTACTAGCACCGTGAGACCCAACTGGTGGCCACAGGCGCTCATCCTGTAGGGTAGGTGTCTGTCTGTTATACCAGACGGAGTGTCTATTAACCTGGAGACAAATGCTTTCTTTTATATGCCCATCGTAATTCAGTGACTCTATGGAGAAAGATTTTTTTTCTTAAGAAACTTAATGTAGTTAAGCTACTGAAGAAAACCCCTGCACAACTAATAAAGAAATCTAACGCTCACAGCAGCTTCTTACAGTAACTTTGAAAATTATTCGGTGACTGATTTTCTCGAAATGCACTCCTTTAGCCCGAAAGGAATTATGGTTTTAGAAAAGAATTATGAACATTTAATGTACCACTTATTATTTTACATTTGAACAAACGACGGGAGAATTCCTCATGCCCATGTTACTACTTCAATTTGTATTTATAATCATTATTTTAGGTCTACCTTTTTAATAACTTGTTTGTTGTAAACACGTCTCCCCCATTTAGATTTGAATTACTAATCAGTTTTCTTCCAGAACATTTGAGAGTACACTGAACATGGAGGCATAAAGTTCCTCCGAATCGATGATGACCACCTAAAGCGCTTTATGATATCTTAATCCAGAAGAGGAAAACCTAAACACTTCTGAATAGATATAATTAATTAAGTTAAATAATTATTTGTAAGAAGTACATTTGTATATAATGACTCCAGAGATCAGACGCCCTCTGTTTATACTTACTCCTTTGTAGTCGGTTTGTTCGCGTGGTAATTGAAGGAACAACAGAAACCGTAAGGTGTCTCCAGAAGGCGAAATACTTTCTTGCAGTTAATCATTTTTCCCTTGAACTTGCATTTTACCAGAAGCTCTTCACAGGGGAGCATAACCTACAATAAAATTAAATGTCAACATAATACGAGGGAGGATCAAATAGCCCCTGGAATTTAGTTGTATTGAGATGAGCATTTCCTGTTGGGTGCACACGTATGGACTCTGTGTAACCTCTGCAGCGACTTGCAACAGGCTGAGACACGTTAGTATACCGCAGGTGGCCGTGCAGAAAGAATTGAACCATGCACAACACCAGTGTACTCTGTCACGTCCCCCTGGCAGTACCGCAATTCCTGGCGAAGAATCACATTGCACCCGGTACCCAGGCGCCATATTGTCCAGATCTCGCTCCGCGCCACTTCTGGCTCATTCCAAGTATTAAGATGGGGCTTGAAGTTCATCATTTTGCGTCCATGCAGGGAATTCAACAGAATGTGAAACTAGGACCCAGAGCCACATCAGACAGGACATCCTGAGATGCTTCAAGTAATGGTAGAAGCAAGTGTGCATTTGCAAAATGGCGCTACTATGAGAATCACTCTGTTACAATTTTACACATTTTTTAATAAAAAGTATGCCTGAATTCCGGGAATTTTTTGATCCGTTTACCTATATGATACATTGATGGGTGTATTCATAGTGGCTACGGCTGTATGGGTTTTCCATGGCTATCAGAAAATTAATTCAGTTTCATACTTAGAAATTGCATTCAAACAAGCGCAGCCTAAACTCTTTTCTACAGCCTACATATAACGATCGCCGATCACAGTAGCCGTGCGGTCTAAGTCATGAACTCTCTTCGTTCGCTTGGACGCTGGAATCATGGGTTCGAATCCCACTCAAGGCATAGATGTTTGGTGTGTGTATGCTTTTATTCTGTATTTGTGTTACCCTGTGTTTAGGTAGTGGCCTTGCGACGGGCTGATCATTCGTCCAAGGTGTACTGCCATCTTTGAGAAATGATTACGGAACTGAATAAGAGGCCCGGGTCCTGAATGGGCTGGAAGAGCCATTGAAATAAAAACATGTAACGATTAAAGCAGGGTCGTTTATGGAAACAAACAGTACCACGTGAAGACGATGTGGTAAGTGCCACTCTGTACGGCGCCTTAATATAAGTTAATTGAAAATTGTTCAAAGGGAAAAGGATTCACCGTTGCCTGTATTCATTTAGACGATAAAAATAACATGCACAGTAGATTACTAATAGGACTGCTAATTGGTTGTATTACTTTCTCAATACAGGAGAAAATTAGTACTTCTAAGTCCATAGACAGAGTCCTGTCTTAGAAGCTTGCATTTGCTCAGTTAGTCGGAAGATTTCCCAGTCTCTTATGAACATAGGAGTGTCATTATCATGTTCAAAAAGTCAATCACTGGAACCTTTCCGGAACCAGTTAAATCCCTCATACACTATGTTTTAGAAATATTCCATTCCTACAACCTTATCCATTCGTTTTCTTTTCCACGCATTTCCTCGTAGTTTAAATTATCAGAAGAAGAAATGTTGTGCCAGGACCCTGAGGTTTAGCGCACTGAGTGTAGGAATCAGATACTGAAGATCTCTTCAGGTTAAAAGCTACAGATCTTCATGTGAGGCTTGAAGTTCTCACGATTGTATCGAGGAGAATTACTCTTATTCATGGTGCGATTACACGGAGTCACATCTCAGGCTGCCGTAATCTTCAAAATGTTCAATTTCTCATGCAAGTAGGAATAGCCCTTACGTAAGATTTAGGTGAATGATTTCGGAAACTTTGAAACTGGGAAGAGTTTACTTTTCACACAGTCAACATTCTCCAATATCATTTGGTTGTATGACACAGTAAAGTAAGAGATAATAGCGGAATTTCAAGTCATATATCTTAAACTTCTTGTCATAAAATTGTTTATTGTGGTTTTGAGAAACCAATTGGTCCCACTTCATTTGTGTGGCATTCTTGGAAATATAAAAATAATTGCCTAACCGAATATTCAGGCCTACAGAACTACACGGGTTTTCAGACAAGTCCAGTAAACAGCGCAAACAATATTAAAACTTATTTGTCCGAGGAATGTTGTATATGATGCCAACAGCAAAGGGATTAAGGGACTAACTCCGTACTGGATATTATCATACTCAGTTCCTCAGCGCATCCTGAAATTGCCTGAAATATTTTCATGTATTTTCATGTAGTATATTAGTGACTATAGACGTGGTTCGGATTGGTAATTGGATTCATTGACATTTGCAGGTCGTAACTACAAATACGTATATTATTACATTATTTCTGATTTCCACACTACAAATCACTCAACACTGAGTATTCTCAGTGTGTTTCCACTAGTCTTTACTTGGTAACTGCTCTCAACAATGTCTATTCCTCTGCAGTATCTTCACTGGACGTCTCCTCGTAATGAATGTTACCAATGGAGATTCTTCCGCGTCTGTTGTCCTCTGGTTAACACTCCACAGGTGTGCCCTCAACTGACTCGCAGTCTGTTGTCCTCTGCTTAACACTCCACAGGTGTACCTCAACTGACTCGCAGTCTGTTGTCCTCTGGTTAACACTCCACAGGTGTGCCCTCAACTGACTGGCAGTCTGTTCTGCGCCGTTGTACTCCCAGTTCCAGTTCTCTCTTCTTTCCCTGCAGCTCCTCTTCTGTCCTCCTACAACTCCTCTTCTGTACTCGTAGTCAGAATCAGAGTTACTTTACGACGGGCGGTTTACCGCCAATAAGTTCGTCTTGGCGTCAGGCCCCTTGAGGACCACGACCAGGTATTCTTTTTCCATCTGAACTCGTACAGCTTACAGCTCTCGTTATATAGACGTGACTCGGACCATACAGAAAACATAGCCTCTATTGTTGAAACGCCTCTGTTGGGGTTCCTACATGGGCGCTACCCTGCCAGTTCAGTGGTTAACTGGCGGCTTCCTAGCATCTGTGCCGTATTATTGGCCGCGTGTTTACTTGAACGCGTTTACCTAGCAACGGGATTTTCTGGCTCCGTAACTTAATGTTTTTAACAAATCTGTCACAATATAAATCGCCTGTTTCTTTTTTGTCGTGGGTTGATTCTTACAGCAACATGGTGGGTCCTCAGGTTGCAGTGGAAGAGACGACCAGCAGCGACAGAGGGGATAAATAGAATTGGTCGTATTTGTCGCGAATAGTCGACAAGGGGTGGTCTTCCAGACTGATAGCCGTAAAGAAAGGATGGAAACCTTTCATATTAGTAAACTAATATGTTAAAAATACCACAGGAGACATCTAATTTATATGAGTGTATCTGTATGAATCTTAATAAATGAAACATTCACTAATGTACCGGTTTTATGGCAGTTAATAAGGACGATTTAATACTTCTATTTAACTTTAATCACTGCCGGATATATCATAACAAGAGGAAAATTTAATTTCAGTTTCACGGTAATCCACTTTCTATCATTAGTTGACATAGTTCCACTAGACAGGCCAAGACGACCGTGGGGGGATAATACTAAAATAAGTTTTGGAGAGAAAAAATGGGGTCGTACGGGCTGCATTGATGATCTGGCTCAGGATAGGGACCAGTGGAAGGCTCTTGTGAACACAGTAATGAACATTCGGGTAACATAAAATGTTGGGAAGTTCCTAAGTAGCAACACAACTGGCGTCGTCTCAAGAAGGGCTCAACTCCATGGAGTTAGTTTGTGGACGATAGGTTCTTCTTCTAGATATATCGGTGTTCTTTACCGGTCATGATTAAACCAGTATTTTCGAGATAAAATATAATAACAAGAAATGTTATCAGTGTGCCTCAGTCTCCAATTGGGGCCTCACCTCTCACCTGCCAAGTTTTGCAACCGTTAATCTACTCCAAAATTACAAGCGATCGACTGAAATAATTTTGTCTTCGTCATTTTACGATTTTCACTGTTTAGGCTCATGCATTTTCTGATTTTACAGCCATTTTTAAATTGATGAGCTATATCTATATGTTCCTTGATCCTGTACTTAGTGGAAAATTAGGGAATATATCGTTTTCGAGTCAGTGAAAATGACTTAACCAATGTCCCCACAGTAATCTGTTTTATTACTGACTGAAGAGTAATTAATTATTTCTCACTATAATTACATTTAATTTCGTCCAATTTGGTACATCCGTTGGCAGTTCATAAGAACTTCATATCCTCTGCTTCAATTCTGCTGCAGTCTCTCTCCTCCTCAGCTTGATTTCACTGCCATACCCAAGTGTGGGACTGCAGTCACTTCATGAAATAACTCTGATTCTTTCGTGTTTTTTTTTTTCCTTTTTAATGTTCCACTTATCGTCCCACGCCTTACTTGGAATTAATACATTTTACTTTTTTACGTCATGGTGTGTTTCTTAAGAAAAATAATTTCTTGATATTTGAAATGAATATTACAACACCCGCAACCAGGAAGGGAACGCACGACACGAGACGCGATATACACTGAGAGTAAGAGGAACGACTCCCATAGTGGTGGAATTCTAGGTAATAAAGGACACTCTATGTACTAGAAGACACGACGTTTCGGAAACTGTATCTCTTTCCGTCTTCAGGTGAGAAAGGAAGACACCTGCTTATTTGGGTCTCTTAGAACTCTAGGTAATAGAGGACACGACGTTTCCGAAATTGGATCTATTTCCGAAACGTCGTGTCATCTATTACCTAGAGTGTCCTTTATTACCCAGAATTTCGGATGATGTGTTTTCATAGTGGGTTAGGATTTTAAGTTGCATATACCATATATAGTTTATTTAAGTATCAAAAGATGGCGGGAGAGTTTATTTATATTTTTATGATGTTAGTGATCAAACATCCAAATTTTCAGAACGGTGCTTCTGCGTACAGTAGCATGGCAGCGATCAGATGAAAGTGGAAGTCGTTTGGGGCCCTGTGACTCGTGCTTTATCCCAAACAAACGGGGAAATCTACTTACCTCTCGCAACGCGACCGTTGCAGTAATGTTGTTCATATCTAACACAGACTGTAAACGTCCGAATTTTGTGGCGTTAGATTCATCCATATCGATTAGCTGTGAGAGGAAGATGAGGTCATTAAATACTTCATCTCGAGTCACACCAGAAGGCAGTGTCCTAGAACAAGAAAACGAGTTTCTTTTATTTGTTTGTAACTTGGAATCATATCTCTGCTTCTTGTTCTGTGTGGGTGCGAGGCTTATTTATTCTTGTAAGAGAACATGCCTCGAGATATTTGAGAATGAAATGCTAATGAACAGAACATAATAATAATAATAAGTTTGCTCTAAAGTCCTTTGTTGGGCATTGGCCGGTTTTTCAGTTTCTTGATCTATACACAGTTGGTAGAACTACTTTGAGAGGGAATTAACCCGTCGCATGGCCTCTACCTACACACAGAATATACGCATACAATGCAGATATCCACGCCTTTAGTGGGATTCGAAACCACAGTCCCAGGGTTCGAGCGAGCAAATTTCATGCCTTAGACCTCGCGGCCATTGTGATCGGCGCTAGAGAAATTATACATGCATAATAAAGAGAAAATAAGAAGGGGATGACGAAATTGCAGAATGAAGAGTTTCATGATTTATTCTATTCACAAAATATATCACGATAATCAAATACTGGAAGAAGAGATGACATGTAGCACGCATGAGAAATGAGAAATGAGAAATGCATGTGTAATTATGGTCTGTAACCTTAAGGGGCCTGTCAAGGTAGCCGAGCGGTCTAAGGCATGTACTGTCTTCGCTCGCTTGTAAACCGGGATCGTGGGTTCGAATCCCATTCAGGGCTTGGATGTTTAGTTTGTGTGTGTGTGTGTGTGTGTGCGATTTTCTGTGTTTGTGTACAGGTAGAGGCCTTGCGACGAGCTGATCACCCGCCCAAGGGGTCCTACCGAATGTGTAAGATCTAGAAAAACCGAAGTGAACGGAGAAGTTCATGGAGGTAGGCCTAGGCCCACTGGGGCTGTAGTGCCAAGGAAAAAAAAACCTTAGGAAACAGATCATTTTCCGATTCCTAAGCGTAGAAACTGAGCAAGAAAATGTGTGGCTCAGCATAGGGCCCAATGTGGAACTTCTATATAAACGACAATAAATATTTAGGTTTGATAACGAAAGGGAATCCATCGACCATGGAGGGGTTTGTACACTATCTGAAAAATTAAAATATCCGTTGAAGATCCCGTAATACCGAGTTTAATTCATATAAATTAATATCATCGTATACTAGAGTTTATGGAAATTATTTTATAATTCGTATGGACACTTGTCCGTGGAGATGTACCAACATATATAGCCGTGAATCTATCGAGGTTATCGTTGCAAACGAATTCCTTCACTCAAAGTCTACCCTGGTGGCAGTTGGCACTGAGGCTGCTCCAGATGGGTTCAGGCGCTGATTTACATGCAGCAGCTAATCAGCAAGCATCCGCCAAGTGTCGAAATGTGCAGGCTTTAATACACTGCAGAAATTAAATCTTTCTTAATTACTCACATGAAGGGTCCTCTCAAAACTGAACTTTAAATAAGTCCCAGACAGAGGAAATTTCTTGAGCACTTTTTATTTATTCATCTACTGAGAAAAATATACTTTTAATCAGAAAACAAATCGCCGAATAACTTACCTTTAACAACATTAAACACATAAACAAGTGACACCTTGTTATTTTAGCTTCTTTTGTAGCAAATCATTTTAGCAATATTTCTACTTCCTAAAAGACTTAACAGGGCAAAGGTAACTATATATATATGTCACCTAATCAATCATTCGTATGTCGACATTGAGCTCCCCTCTCCATAGCTTTCATTACGTTTCCAGAATGGAAGGAAATTTTTTCTTAAAAGCAACAGATGCTCATTTTTGTACAGATGTTTTCTTGGGAGTTTCAGAAACTTTGTTCAGATAAATTTTGTACTTTAATAGTTAAAGACAGTTTTCAGTATACCATTTGTTGATGCAGTATAGAAGTTTACAAAGGCGTCCTCAATTTCAAAATTATCCCGCCACTTTCAATGTATCGATCTTAAACTCGAAGCACAGAATATTGACAATTCCTTGTCAATAGAGAGTGAGGAGAATTGGCTTACGTCAGACACAAAACACGGCGATTTTCTTTGTGGGTTACTTCGCGACGTGGTGTCTGTAGTAGTTAAACTCAGTCACTCCGAATGGCAGGATGAATTCTGAATTGAAAGGATTTGGAAGGAAGCTGTCATGGTTTATCGAGATGCTACCCGCAAATTCGCATGGGCTAAGGAAAACAACGAAACATCGCAGTGAGGACAGTCCATGTATCAGCCGAGATGCAAACCGAACGCCTAGCGAACATGAATGAGGAGAGATACTGCTACGCCTTCTCGTTCAGTATGATTACGTCACGCGTGTAATGTAGTCATTTCGAGGTCCATATATTCATATTAACTCAACGTAAAACCTTCAAGTAAAATGTAAAGTTGGCCCTGTGCTTAACTAATCAAGCACTACGCCATGAAGGCGTTAGGGGGTGGATGTATAGATCCATATTTTCTTGATCTCGGCACTTGAGGTGAGTGGTCAGCTTCACGTTCCTGCCGCTTTACCCCCGGGGAAAGAGTCCCCGGTACCCATTGTATAGGAGGTTTGGTGAACCCCACATCCGGTCTGGACGACGTGGAGAAGAGGAAAACCTTGACCTTACTGAGACCCGAACACCGAACCCTCGGTCATCCAGCCCGTAGCCAGTCGCTATACCGACTGCGCTAACCCGGCTCCCTAAAACCTTAAAATGCACCTGATTGATTAAAAAGAAGCACTTCTACATAGTAGGGTGATTGGTTCTTCGTTCGGTTGGGATCTGATTTAAGTTACCTTCTACCTTGTTTCCCTATGTTGATTATATACTGATAAAATCCAGATAGATTTCGGTCATGTAAGGCCTCTCTGTGAAAATGTAGGATGACGGATATCATTATTTCACTTGTCAAGAGCTACTACGAAAGGGCGGGACTCCGCGTTTTCGAAACCCAAAGACGAATATGAGATGGCAACATGCAACATAGCAGGAGGCAGCGTAATCAACTGATTTAAATAGGAAAAACGTACATTTGCGACTTTTAGCTTCTTGTTAGAAATCAGTGGCGTGGATATTTCAATCCTTTACTTTTTTTATTGCTTGTGGGGTGGGACTAAGTCCCTTGTACTGCGGCCACTTCTGTCCTATTGTACCAGCCCCAGATGATAGGTGAGGGTGATTGTGGAGCAATTGGTGGAATGAAGATTGGCAGGGGAAACCGAAGTACTAGGATTAAACCTACCACAGCGCCACTTTGTCCACCACAAATCCCACTTGACCGGACCGGGGATCGAACCTGGGCCGCCGCGGTGGAAAGCCAGCGACTAACCGCTTGAGCTATGGCGTGGCCATATCCTTTACTTTAATACATGCATATATGAGTTGTAAATGTGGTCTTGTGTGACTGCAAGATGCGGTGGTTTAACGACATATAATCATAAGGGAAAAGGCTGAACGTATTTAATTAATAATTTTTATCTTACCCTAATACAGAGAGTATATCGGAAAAATAAACCCCATAAATAATCCGTAGATTATTGAACAACCTTTTTTTTTCTTGTTGATGTGCATACGAGTGTAACTTTCAATTATACAACAACATTTTTCATTATCCAGTTCATTTTACCAGCTTCTGTACACTTATCTGCAACTAACTGCGGATACAATCTTTTGGCATGAAATGCTTTGTATTTCGGTAGAATCCCACTTATTTCAGAAGGACCTACTGCCTCCATTTTCAGGATGGAAGGGCCAACTAAGTCTGCCTTTTACTCGCTGCTTGCTTGGCGTACTCTTCGAAGCGGAAAAGGAAGGCAGTAATTTACTCCGAAAACTTGGTGGAGTTCTACCGGCGTTATATTGCGGAAGTGAGTACTCTTCATAGACGGCTTCATACCAAGAACATACTGTAATAAATAACGCTATTAACTCCTGAATTTGATGATATCAGATACTATTGTAGGTTTAGTCTTAAGTCTAGAACACTCCGTTAACAGTCAAAGTTACGTAACATCAGAAGAGAAGAAAATAATTGCTAATAAATAGCAATCAATTTGAAAGCAGGCATTCGTTGCTATTTTCAAGGCACTATCCTGGCATTCGCATGTACACGCTGAGTAAAACAACGAAGAACCTCCTTCATTGTAACTGGGAACCCAACCAATATTTGAATGGTTCGTCCAGAATAGAGGAACAGGGATAGCTCAATCGGTATACCGACTGGCTACGGGCTGGACGACCGAGGGTTCGGGATTCGATTACCGGTATGGTCAAGAATTTTCTCTCCTCTGTGTAGTAAATTTCGACTCTGGGGCCCACACATCCTCCTATCCACTGGGTACAAGGGGCTCTTTCCCCGGGAGTAAAGCCATAGGAGCGTGAAGCTGACCACCTCCAACTAGTGCCGAGGTCAGGGAAATGTGGACATACACGTTACATCCACTCTCCCATATGCCGTCATGGTGTATTGCTTAATTAGTTAAGCACAGGAGCAACTTTACCATTTTATTTGATAGACAAAACTGACGAGTTGCAAAAAACAGTAAGAACAAGAACAATAGAGACATGTCTGGAGGAATAAATGACTTTAAGAGGGGTTATCAACCTAGAAGTAACTTAGTGAAAGATGAGAACGGCGATATGCTTGCAGATTCCCGCAACATTTTGCATAGGTGGAGGAACTACTACTCTCAGTTACTGAATGTAAGGGTCAGTGCTGTTAGCCAGACAGAAATGCATACAGCTGAGCCATTAGCACCTGATCCTAGCCCTTTTGAGGCTCAAAGTGCTAATGCAAATTTTAAAGGTACAAATCGCTAGGTAGTGGCCAAATTCGGCAGAACTGATTCAAGCAGGAGGTGAAATATTACGGTCTGAAATCCACAAGACCATTAATTCTATTTTGTATAAGGAAGAAATGCCTGAGCAGTGGAAGGAGTCTATTATTGTACCAATTTAAGAGAGGGACGATGAAACTGACTAGAATAATTATCGTGGGATATCACAATATTAGATTGGAACATGGAATGTAAGGACCTTGAATCAAGCAGGCAAATTGGAG